TTCTTCAGTCTTTCCAAATCTGTTCAAAGTCTTTCCAAAACGCCTCCTCAATTTCTTCAGAATCTCTTCAAATCTCTTCAAAATGTTTTCAAAATCTCTTCCATATCTCTTCACACTCTCTTCAAAATCTATATACAACGTTTTAAAAACCCTTTCCAAACCTGTTCAAAGTTTTTCATAATCCCTTCAACATTTCTTCTGAATATCTTGAAAATGTTTCCAAAATATTTCCAAATCTGTTCAAAGTCTTTTCAAAACGCTTCCTCAGTTCTTCAGAATCTCTTCAAAATCTCTTCAAAATCTTTTCTAAAGCGTTATGTTGGTTGGAAGCAGACAATAAAAGCAGACGGTTCATCCAGAAATCCAGAAAACTTCAGCAGTATTCCTTCCGCGTTTCCAGGTTTCATTCTATGTTGTCTATCCCTTCAAGAAAAGCACTATTGACTTGTACCATAGGGAACGTATCGATTCCAGGAAACTATATAATTAAGGTAACGTAATTCTTTTGATTTGCAGTGACATAACTATCGGTTCATTTTATGGCGTTACAATAAATAGGGATAAGTTAGAGTAGTGAAAGTAGAAACGTAGCCACGGTATATCTTTCAGTACTTGTAACCTTAAAAAGCTTAAAATAGGAAAAATGTAAGAAAAATCGGGATTTGGATCGATTTTTATGTTATCAGTATACTCAATCCGTTCACTTTAAATTTCAAGATTAAAAAAGGAAGGGGAAAATTTCATGATACATATTAAATGAAAAGTCAATTTTACCGACATCTAATGATCACATAATCCCTGATCCCTCGATCAAAACCAAGAACTAAGGTAAATAGGTAATGATGTTAGTTAATTCTTGTCTTACATTCTTCCTTATCGGTTACTTCCAGCTCACTTCTTCAATAAAAATCATTTCCTCTTGAAAAACGTTTCACGTTTTGTCATAATCATTTTTACTTTCCGACTACATACAAAGTATGTATAAAGGAAAGTATTGTAATCGTGATACATTTTTGATAATCTCTTCAAAATATCTTCATAATGTCTTCAAAATCTCTTCAAAGTCTCTTCAAAATCTCTTCAAAATCTCTTCAAACCACTTCATAATCTCTTCAAAGTTTTTTTCCAAATCTCTTCAAAATCTTTGCAAAATCGTTTCAGAATGTCTTCAAAACCTCTTAAAAACCTCTTCAAAATCTCTTCAAAATTTTCACAAGATTTTTATAGACAATTTAAGGCCCTTGAACGCCCTTAAAACATTGACAGAAACTCTCAAGTGTTTTCAAAGGATGGAGCTAATAATCTCTATAAAAGATTCTGGATTATCTTTGGATGCCCTTTGATGCTCTCTGAAACCGTTGGAGACTGTTAGCTACTCTTGAAAGTTACACACTCATTTGATGTTTCTTAGGAACATCAAATACGTTGAATAGCCCAAGAGAAATCTGTCAAACACACTTTCTATGACCCTTAAAAAAGAGTCAATTAAATGCTCAAATTCTGTAGAGGACTCCTCAGGACTCTTAAAAAAACTGGGGTCTATACTCTGTGGATTTTAAATAATTTTTTTTGTAGACCTTTGGCCTTTGCCTTAATCCTTTAAAAGTGGAGGCCTTCAAGCTCTCTGTGACCTTGAAAAGATTTTAAAATTCATGGTATAGAATTATTGTTAAAAGGTTTTGAGATCTTTTGTGAGTCGGGCTTCCAAAGGCTGCAACGGCCTGTACAAAATTCTTTGGTTCCTCAAAGGATTTCCGGAGTGTATTTCTAAAGAATTTGAGAGAGTTTAATTTGATTTTGGGGCCTTTAAGCGGTCATAATACACTTTTAAGGCTTTTAAAGGGATTTGGTATGTAATGGAACTTGGACGGATTTAAATACGTTTGCGAGACTATTATTTGCCCTTGAATCTAGAAGCGTCTCCACGAGCTTTTTAACATTTTTACAGGGTAATTTTATACTTGTCCAAAGGACTTTTAAAGGGTATTAATGATTTTTAAGG